CGCCTCAAGACCAAGTCCAACTGCGCACTCGCGTTTCCAGTGAGTGTACACATGGACTGTTCCTTTAATTCCAGGCAGGTCACTCCTATTTCACAACAAATTTGACACTGAAGAATTTGATGTTCCCAAGTGTTAAGGTAACGAAAGTTCATTCTCTTACCTCGCTACTTCTCTCTCTCTCTTGATCAATGGAAGTATGGAATAACTCCAGGTAATTCAAAGCGTATTTTTCAATGGGTGTAAGCTGTTTCAAAAATATATTTTTTGAATCGAGTTAACAGCAAGTTAACAAGGGTTTAATTCCTTATACAACCCCTACCGACATTTGAATCAAAACAGGGACTGTTCTCAGTTAAAACCACCAAGAAATATTTCATAAAAGGGTCACAAGTTTAAAATATTTAGTTGTAAAGAAGGGAATTAACTTAAGGCCCAAAGAGAAGACGCCCAAACCTGTCCCATGAAGTCAGCCAACTCCTCCAGCTGCGACGGCTCCTCGTCCCCCTGGGACCCAGCAGCGTCCGAGGACCCCAGCACCGCCTCCTCCATGGGCTTCTGCTCATCTTCCTCCAGGTGCTCGATGCTCTTGAGGGCCTGAGGACGGGCTTGGGTTAGGCTCCTCTGATAGACTTAAATTTTTAATGAAAGGCTTTTAAGAAAGAACCACACCACACAGATCTGACTGCACACCCACACCGCACACCAAGCGCCTCTACGATGACTCGTTCAGTCTTCGAGAACCGCCCACACGCCTAAGGGGACACGGCAAACGGAAGGCCTTGGGGAGGGCCAGGGGTGCGCTGGCCGACACGCACACGAGGCTCTTAAGAGACCCAGCAAGACAGGGCGCCTGGGTCAGTCTCACACCCGACACCCGCCCTGCCCTCGGGTCCCGGCCAGCAAGAACAATTCTTCATGGTGCTGAGGACACAAGCCGCCGTCGGAGGTATAAACAGACGTGCTGCGGTGATGGCAGACACAGAAGACAGTCAGCATCACCCCAGTTCAAGAAATGCAAACGAGTGAGGCAGACGTCAGGTGCGCCTCTCCCGGCAGCCAAGGGGACAACCTGCAGCTTAGAGCTCGCCAATTAGGAACTGGAACAACCTCCTTCTAGGGCAACTGAGCAAAATCTGACAAGTTTAAGATGCAACCCTATCTCACACTGTACACGGTGTACAGCCATTTCCAGACAGATCGCTCATCTAAGGATGAAGAAAATAAAGGAGGCCCTCTCTTAGCAGAACACAGAAGCACCAAGTACATGAGAAAAACGGTCTGCTGGGTGGCCAAGGACCAAGAATTCCTGCTCACCAAAACACAGCATTAAGAAGACCAAAGCCCAGGCTGGAAGAAGACACCGTCCATGTAACCCACAAAGGCCCTGCACCCAGAACACAGAAAGGATGCCAAAAAGCCACGAAGAAAGAGACAACCCAGCTAAAAAGAAGTAGGAAAAAGACGCGACCGAGCGTCTTGTAAAAAGCTATTATCCGCACTGCCGACGAACACACAAGCTCATCAGCCGACAGCAAACTGCAAACCCAGCCCAGGAAGCCACCCCGCGCCTGCGGCTCTGAGCCGGCCCCGGCTGCTGCCAGCACAGACAGGGCCCGCCCGCCGCGGAGGCCTCCGCTCCACCTCCTCGCCCCGGGCCACACCTGACCCTCTGCCCCAGACTCACAGGGGTCCTGAGTGCTGCCGCCTGCAGGCGACACGTCTCGCCCACTAGGACACAACCTTCACAGCTGAGACCTGCGTCTCCTCAAGGCCACAGCCCTCCTGCCGGGACAGGGCCGACACCCAGAGAGACGCTGCCAAGGGTCTGCACGCACCGCTTCAGAGACAGAGGAGACACTTCTGTGCCAGCGCCTCCAAGACGTGCTGAGCGCAGCAGCAGGGTGTGCAGCACACGCACACTTCTCACGCACACGCATCCTCACGCCCGTTTGTCCCCCAGGAGGCCTGTGAGATCCGTGACGACGGCTGAGCGGTTACCTCCCTCCTCCCACTTCGTGCTGTTTTTCCCTTTTCGCCCTAACGCGTCTATCATCTTCTTCTGAGAGCCTTTCGTGACAGAGACGGAGCAAGGCATTTCCGTGCCAAGCGACACTACACTCGGACAACTCCGGGAGGAAGCGGGAACAGCAGGCCGCGGCTGTCTAAGCAGGGATGAGGGCCTGGTGCAGGAGGCTTACTTTCCATTGTAAATTCCTGAAGGTTCCACCATGTGTACGTATTACTTCTCAGTAACCAATTACTTTTAAAAAATAGAAAATGAGGCACCCTGCAGTCAAAGGCCCCTCCAAGAGGCAGGATGGGAGCAGGGCCTTGGGAAGGGAAGTGAGGGGCCCTGACAGGTGAGTCTGGGACGTGTCTACACAGCAGCGCTGCCCAGAGGCAGCAGCATGTGAGTCGAGCGTGCAGTCTGACGTCTCTAGTGCCCATGTCAAAAATGTAAACGTGCTGTTTAACCCAGTAAGTCTGAAGCATTATCATTCACCCTGCAACCCACGTAAGAAAGCCAAGTGAGGCGGCCGGTGCTCCTTTTGGTTCTGTCCTCAGAACATGACGTGGATGCCAGGGCCTGGAGACTCCTCCAGCCTCACAGTGACAGAGGAGGAGCTGGGACCAGGGAGGCCAGTGGGGGCAGAGCAGACGGTCACCCAGGACAGGCACTGACTGATGGCCCCAGAGATCAAGTGCGGCCAAGGGGCGCGAACGGAAAGCACGACGGCGAGGGCACACGGCTGGCACGCGGCCTGGGTCAGACTCCAGGCAGGCGCCAGTCAGCCTTACCTCGATGAAAGGTCTTGCAATCTTGGGCGCAATGGTTTCCGTGACGGAAGGCTCCTGGGAAAGGACGACAAACTCCTCAGCTTTCACCGGGAAGCCAGCGTCGTCCACAGGTGAGCAGATCTCGAACAGCTCCTGGATGGTCCGCTGGAAAGAGAGACGCCCGTTGCAAGACGTGACCAGCACGGCGGCGCACGCGACCCCAGCCGCACGCGGCGGCCCCGGCCTGGCCGGAGCAGGGTACCTGCGTGAGGAACGCCGTGGAGTAGTCGTTTCCCTGGGCAGCCACTTCTCGGATCAAGTCTTTGGTTCCGTTTTTCAGCAACTTCTCTTCGATGGAATTGCCACTCACAAGCCTACGAGCAGAACACAGGCAGGCACGCCCACTAAGTCGCCTGGAGGCTCTGCACAGCGCCCAGGCTGGCCCGGCTCACAGACCATGCAGTTCCTGCCTTCGTGTGTCACCACCTCCCACCTCAGCCCAGCAGCCTTGCTGACCTCCTGGCCCCAGCTCCCCCAGGACCACGTCCACACTCGGCAGCAGGGCCTCTGCCCGGCCACACCCTCCCCCAGCGCTGTGCCTCCCACCAAGCAGCGTGTGCAGGGCCCCCAAGGGGCCAGAGCACACATCCCCTGGCTCCTGCTTCTAGCCCCGGAAAGGCCGCAGGAGCCACCACCACACTCACCTTCAGGGCCCTCGTTACAGTTACGCTAACTTTTACCATTGCTGCGGGGAAACGTCACAATCTTACGAACCAGGTCTTCCCATCCAAGAACACAGCACGTCCTCCTGCTCGGGACATCTCTCTCCTCACTCCCACCCAGTTTCACCCTGCGCTCCCTGGACACTCTGCCCCTCTGCGGCTAAGATCCTTCCTGTTGACAGACTGGCCACTGAGGATAAAACGTCTTTTCCATTTCTAGCTCATTTCTAGCTAGCAATTACTAACAGGTCAACAGTAAGGGAGCGGTTACCCAGTGAAACACTAATTCTTTCAAGATACACAATGTACCAAATTTATATTTATCAGCATGGAAATACACTTATATCATTAAAAGAAAACGGGATTACGAAATAAGACTGCTGGCCTGAGTCATCCGAAAAATCAGGGCACTGTCTGGAAAAACACACCAAGACGCTAGTAACTGCCTCTGGACAGGGTATTTTTCTGCACATGCTTTCCTTCTTTTCTTTTCAATAAATAAGTGATACACTTATAATTTTTTTTAAATAGCTATTTAAATTCAGCGTATGGATTCCCACGTCTTGACTGAAATAGCACGCGGTCCAGGTCGGCGGCAGGAACCTCAGTTCCTGCGGCAACACCTCCCAGGACTGGCGGGCGAGCACGTGCTGGGCCACCAGGCACACGCCCAGCCAACAGTACAGGCCAGGCCGCCACGCTGTCGCCACCAGTGCTTCCACACGCACCAGAGCCTCTCCCTCTTCCTCAGCTGCTGGCGTGGAGCCAAGTGCGAGACTCAAACACTCTGAAGAGCTGACTTAGGAACTGACAGCACAAAGCTGCTGCAGATAGTTCACATCTGATGACGCGGGAAACAGCCTGAAGCGTGAACCACCCTTTGAGGGCCAGCTGCCCCAGGAGAGGCGCCCGGCTGTGGTAGAAGAACACCATGGCACGTCCCCGCAACTCAGCCCAGGCACACTCCAGGCAAACGCTGAGCGGGAAGGAAGCCGACAGACGGCGGCAGGAGAGACCTGCTGTCGGCCTGAGGGCAGGCACGCAGAGCGCAGCGGGCTAGGGAGCGCACGGCCGTGCCCACCTGTAAATGTGCACGTCCCTGCGCCTCCCAATCCGGTCACACCACTCCTGGGCCTTGGCATCCATCACCGGGTTCAGGTCATGGTCATAGAAGACCACCGCATCCGCCTCCACCAGGCTCACACCCGTGGCACGGCTGTGGGTGGAGAGGAGGGCGCAGAAGACCCGTCGGTCTCGGTTGAAGGTCCTCATCAGCTCCTGTGGGGGGACAAGCCCTCGGGTCGGTATAAAGGATGGCACCTCCCATGTGCTGGTATTCCACAGCTGGCCGCTAGCCCAGCACAAAACCGCTCAGCCTGGGTCTCACCGGGCGCGTGGCCCGCTCTCTCGTGGGCACCACACATGGCTCACTCCCTGCTGCCCGACATTCCCACCGGTCCCAACCTCGCCAGGCCTCGCTTACAGACCCCTGCGACAGGAACTGTGAGCTCACCGTGTAGGCCCCACAAGAACACAGAGTCTCTCTGGGGAGGGATGGGTGCTCTTTCCTGTGCCCTCAGGCAATGTCAGGGCACTCTACAGCAAAAGTGCCCTGCAGTAAGGCTGAGGGAGCGAAACCGGCCAGGAAGAGGGGCCCCCGCCTCCCGCAGCCCAGCTGGCCTGGTTCCCACTTCTCTTCTGCACTCACTTCAGTGCCAAAACACACCTCAACAGGTGACCGACCCTCTTCTTTCCATTAAGTTCTCTACGTGATCTGTTACATCAGCACCAGGAAAACCTGTTACTTAAGACCGCAGTGTACGTTACGCCCTCCAGGCCACCCTGGCGTGCAGCCGCTGTGAGGAGTCCCCTGCGCTGTCCTGCGGGTGCGGGTGACACGACCTCCAGCCCAGCGGTGTGTCTGAGGTTAGGAATGCTCCGCCAGGACGCTACAGCCTGCTCTGAGCCGCGGCTGGAGGCTTCCTAGTTCATCCTACGGAATACTCGGGACGCTGTGTGTTCACGACAGGGCCAGGCCCGGCGGCACGCAGACAGCCTGGCACCCGCTCTCATCCTCCTGGCCATTCACTCGGCTCCTGGACTGGGGCCGTTCAGACCCTGCCGCACTGGGCGGGCTGTGCACGTAAACCTCTGAGAGGTGCGGGGTGCTGCTGCAGGAGGGAGTCCTGCACACGCAGTCACGTGCTCAAGCACACGGCCCTCCTCTCCGCTCGCCTTCTGGGAAGCTGCACTCATCCGCGCCCCCGCTGCAGGGTCTGAGAGTGCCTGTCACCCTGTGCCTGATGGCATCAAGTTACCCTCGGCTAACTGCACAAGTGAAAAGCGGGCCTGTAACTGTGATTACTCCGGGACTTTTCACGTTTCACGTGGCTGCCACCTGAAGTTCACCCCTCTCGTGCTGTCCTGACGGCCGGTCACCAACTGATTCTGAGCTGCCGAGCCGGCAGCACGTCCTGAATGACAGGACGCAGCTGAAGTCCAGAGACACCGAGACACTGTCCCCTTTGTTCAGAGGGCACAAGCGTGCTGGGTCTGCACAGCTGGAGGTTAAAGCTATCGCAGCTCAATCACAAGCGGTAACAAAACAGAACACCCCTCCTCACCTGCCGCTGCTCGCTGTTGGCATTTTCATCGATCCTCACGTAGGTGAGGTAATGGAAGTTGAGGAACATCTCTAAGATGTCTAACATCAGCACCATCTGAGACAAAATCAGCACTCGGCGTCCTTCAGATCTCAGCTTCTGAAGTAGGATGGCCAAAGCCTCCAGCTTCCCTAGGAAACGAGTCACATCAGAGGGCCTGCGACCCCGGGGGGCAGACCCAGCGCGGCAGCAGGGCAGGCGGGCCCCCCATACCTGAGTCAAACTGGACCAGTCTCAGCTCAGGAAAGCGCAGCGAGCGCGGGGCCGTCACCTGCTGCAGCTGCTGGGCGTAGGCGGCCATGTGCTCCTTCAGGCCCTGCCTCAAGAGCCTCATCCTGTGGCTGTAGAGCGAGGGCGGCCTTGCCACCCACAAGCACGGGGGCGCAGCCACCACTGGAGGGATCACACACACCACCCTGAGAAGCAGAAAGCACACCTGTCACAGGTGGCTCCCGTGGCGTCCCCACCAGGTAGCACCTCTGTCTCAGGCAGCGAAGGCTCAGGAAGGAAGAGGACAGAACCGTCAGAGAAGCCAGGTGCCTGACTCCAGTCAGGTGACGCAGCTGCTGGAAGCTTGCCCAACCTGCCGCAGCCAGCAAGGGCCACCCAGACCAGAAGGAGCGGCGTAGGCGGCCCCCAGGCCACAGGACCGGGCGTGGAGACAGGGCCCTGCAGCACCAGCCTTCTGCTGGGAGTCCTGGGGCACAGATGCTCCGTCTTCCGGACAGTCTTGGGGGAGGTGAGCCCTGCAGCTGCCATGGCCACCGTGCCCCCAGGAGGGAGCCAGGCTTGTGGGCAGCAGAGAGCAGCACCACCATGACTCGGACGAGCCACTGGGCCACCCTGGCGCCCGCCCTGACCTCCAGGAAAGCCCTCACTCTGGGCATCAGCACAAGCTGGGCTCGCAAGACTTGCTACCAACCACGTGCAAAGTGAACAGCCACTGACGGCCAAAGCTCTGATCAGTGAACCCAAAGAAGCACTAAACAAAAGGAGACAGATTCCAAGTTCACGGACAGGAAGACCCAGTATTGTCAAGATGTCAGTTCTTCCCAACCTGATCTACACATTCAACGCAGCCCCAGGCAGCAATTTTGTAGATACCGACAAACTGAGTCTGAAGCGTCTACAGAAAAGCAGCACTGCTGTACACAGAGCAGACAAACAGATGGCACAGGAGACCACATTCAGCACCTCGTAATGACCTACAACAGAAAAGAACCTGAAAACGAATACTTACATACATGTGTTTATGTATACAATCGAATCACTGCTGTACACCTAGAACTAACGTGGTAAATCAACTTTACTCAAATAAAAATAAATAAGAGGAAAGGAGTGGGGGGGGGGAGAGAGGAAGGAAGGAAAAAATAATAAAGTTTATGTGGGGAAGCAACAGACCAGAAGAGCCAACACAACCCTGAACTAGAAAAAGTTGGAGCACTGGCACCATCGCCTTCAAGACTCACTATAAAGCACCAGAAATCAAGACTGTGTGGTGCTGGTGAATAAATAATAATAAACAGATCAATGGAACAGAAAAGAAAGCCCAGAGACAGACTCTCGCAAACACAGCCATCTGACCTTTGACAAAGGAGCGCAGGGAGCACAAGGGAACAAAGACAGTCTTTTCAACGGAGCTAGGACAACCGGACATCCACGTGCAAAACGACGACCCCAGGAGAGACGCTACGTGCTTCCTGACGGCAGGACAAAGCGTCACCTACTCCTGCACGCGCGCGCACACACACACACACACACAAACAACAAATAAAGAACTGCAGTTGATCAATACAGAGGACAAAGCAGCACGTTAAATTACACCACGGGGACTCGGTCAGCAAACCCAGACTGCGGGAAATTCCACACAGCAAAGCCCCAGGCTTCGTCAACAAATAAACTGCAAGGGGTAAAAAGGGAGAAACAGAAATAGAGCCTATAGATTAAAAGATACATAGGAGACACAAACTGATTGCTGTGCATCCACCTTACTGTGATGCTGGCTTCAACTATAAAAAAGACTACTTATGAGATAATCAATAAAGTAAATACTGAACAGACATTTGATGATGAGACAAAATTAATTTTCTAGGTGTCGTAACAGTACTGTGATTGTGTTTAAAGACTCCCAGCCTTTCAGGGCACAGAGAAATCTTACAGAGGGAAAAATTGTGTTTGTCAAGAATTTATTTCAAAGTACTCTATGCTCAGGGGAACGGGCACAGAGCAAGCAGGACTGAGTTAACAACCGTGGAAAACAGGCAATGGCCACACTGGGATTCGCTGTATTATTCTACTTCAAACGTCTCAAAAGTTTTCCTTGATACAGGATTTTTAAATGGGAGGGGAAAAAGTAAATCTAGACAAAGACCCATTCCCTTCACAAACATTAACTCAAGGGGGGAGGGCACAGCTCAGTGGTAAAGGGCACACTTAGCAAGCACAAGGTCCTGGGTTCAATCCCCAGTCCCTCCATCAAAAATAAATAAACCTAATTACCTGCCCCAAAAATAAAAATAAAAAGTAAAATTTGAAAAATTTACTCGAAATAGATCACAGGTCTACATGTAAAATACAAAACAATAAAAACCCCTAGCAGATCACACAGGAGAAAATCTAGGTGACCTTGGGCTTGGCAGTGACACAGATACAACATCAAAGGCACAATCCCTGAAAGAATTAATCAGCTCAAGATTTAAAACACTTGCTCTGTAGAGACGGCGTCCAGAGAGTGAAAAGGAAGGCTGCAGACTAGCAGGAAATACCTGCAAAAGACACACTTGCTGAAGGACCGTGACCCAAAGGATACAGAGAATCCCTGACACGCAGCCACCGGGAGACAAGCAACTTGTCTTAAAGGTGGACCCAGGCCTTAGCACGCATTACCAGACGGCAGGTAAGTGTATGACATGAAGCCCAACACGTGTGACGTCGGGGGATGCCAGCTAAAGCCGCAAGACACAGCACACACCCCTCAAAACGGCCAAACCGACACCGACGACTCCGGCTGCTGGCAAGGACGCGGAGCGGCAGGAGCTCACTCACCGCTGGTGGGCGTGCAGGATGGCCGTTTCTAACACAGCTGAACACCCTTTCCCCATATGAGCTAGCAATCACGCTCCTTGGGACTCATCCAAATGAGTTAAGAACTACGTCCACACACAAATCCACACAGGGGTTGTGTCCCGCAGTAAGTGAATGGAAAAGCACATGGCGGTGCGTGCGGATGAGAAAACATCACTCTGCACTGAAGGGAGGAGCTGTCAGACCACGAGGACGTGGAGGAACCTCAAATGCACATCACTGAGCGAAAGCAGCCCAACTGAAAAGGCTGCCTACTGCGTAACTGCAACTGAGTGACATTCCGAAAGGCAGAACAGTGCACGCCGTGGAAAGCTCGATAGCTGCCAGGGTTTGGTGGGGCGGGAGGAGCAGGGGGTGCGCAGCCGGCGTTCTAGGGCAGTGGAACCGCTCGGCGCGACTGTGACGGTGGACACACGTCAGGGGGCGCTGGCACGCGTGAACCGGCATGTAAGTTCCGGGCACTGATGTGCGAGCACAGGTCCATCAGCTTTAGCAGAGGCACTACCCTGGGGGCTGCGAGGACACAGGGAATCTCTGTACCTTCCCCTCAGTTCTACTGTGGACCTGTAACTGCTCTAAGAAGTCTCTGTTTTAGAAAGTTAACCTGCAACGTCAGAGGAAGGAGAAGGAAAGGAGAGAGCAGGGACAAGAGGTCACCAACCCCAGACGCAGAGGGCGGAGGGCGGAGCTGTGGGTTAGGGGCCGCTCACTCACAGCAGGAGAACCACCCCACTTTTCTCTTTCCCATTTCTCCATCCCTATCTGAGGGACCTAAAGCAGACACACCCCGAGAGCGGAGCCAGGGCACAGCACTGCTCGGTTCCCCGCTGCAAACAAGCAAGACGGGAACTGCCGCTCAGCAGCGCAGACAGAACAGAAGAGGGA